GACCTGGGACTTCCTTAATGGCTCTTGCTGCAGAGTACTGGGGTCATTCCCCACCGCTCAGGACTCCTGCTTGGACTTATGTTCTCAAAGGGGCAGAGGGGGAAGGGATGGCCCACTGAGGCCCCCAGGCACAGAAGGGTCTCTAATAACAGGCTTTTGGCGAGGGGTGGTGGTGGAGATGGTCCTCAGCTGCCTGGGGTTATCTCTTACTTTCAGCTCCTTAAAAGCCAAATCTTGCCCCAGACCCTCAAGGTGGGCAGACTAAAGGCTGTAAAACTAGAAAGGAGAGCAAGTTCCAAAGAATAAAAGCCCAGGAACTCCACTGGGCCACTCAGGAACTGCCCAGTGTAGAGAGGGACATGTTTCTGTCTTAGGACATGTCCTCCAGCTTTGGACTTTCCTGCGGAGAAAATTCTAGTGGGAGGTGGACGTAGCTGGCTGAAGGGGGTCTCATTTGAAGCTTTCCTCTAAGGCCAGGGATCCTGAAAATTTCAGCACCCATAGAATCACCTGCAGAGTTTGTAAAATATTGGGCCCCAGCCCCAGTCTCTGATTCTGTAGGTCTAAGGTGGGTCTGAGAATTCACACTTCAAACCAGCTCCAGCTGATGCTGATGCTGATTTTTCTGGTCCATGGACCACACTTTGAGACCCGCTGGCCCAGGCCATTCATTTGCTCCCTGGACTCCCCCAACTGGTATGAGTGAGGCTGAGAGGTCTGGAGAAACACAGGCTTTGTTCCAAGGAAAATAACAGAGCAACTGCTCTCTGCCAGGTCGCGTGCCGAGGTCTCTGCCTTAATTTTCTCATCTAATCCTCACAACAAACCTGTGCAGTAGGTTTTGATAGGACTATCTCCACTTTACGAGGAGAAACCATGCTCAGAGGGGTTGCATGGGCTTTAGAATCAGACATATCTGGGTCTGACCCCAGCTCTCCCACTGACCCACTGTGCAAGCTCTCAGGTAAGTGCTCACCCCGCTGAGCCTCTGATTCATCAGTAAATGGGGATCACAGACCTCATTGCCAGGGGTGTTGTGAGGGTGTGCACTGCCCCCAGCGAGGTGATGATTAAGAACAGCTGCACAGAGTAGGTACGCAAAAAATGTTCATCCCCTTTCCTGCCATAAGCCCCATCATCGTGATCTCAAGGTCCTTTCCTGTCTCCTCTGTGGGGCAAAGCCTTTTTCACTCTACGGCTCCAGAGAAACTCCTATGTATCCTTCAAAACCCACCTTAGAATCCCCTCCTCTGTATCTTTCCCTGAAAAGCTGTCCTCTTCCTGTCTTTGGGAAGAAAAAATATCAAGGATGGCAGCTTCTTATTTGAAAAAGGGGCTCAAAGCATTCCTTTCCTTTCTTTCTTCCTCCCTCACTTGTGTTTCCAGATTGTTTATTTGTATCAAGTGCACTCGGGAGTACAAACTCTGCTATCACAGGGACTGGGTGGCTAACAGCTAACAGCATTATCAACGCTTAGTGTGGCCCGTACACCACACAATGTTTTAAGAGGCTTAGGTTGTGGACTCATTTAATGCCTAAAATAACCTTTTTTTTTTTTAAGATTTTATTTATTTATTTGACAGAGATTACAAGTAGGCAGAGAGGCAGGCAGAGAGAGAGGAGGAAGCAGGCTCCCTGCTGAGCAGAGAGCCCGATGCGGGGCTCGATCCCAGGACTCTGAGATCATGACCTGAGCCGAAGGCAGAGGCTTTAACCCACTGAGCCACCCAGGCGTCCCCTAAAATAACCTTTTGAGGCAAGTGCTCACTTCTCCTTTTAGGGAAATGGAGTCACAAAAATGCTAAACAATTTCCCCGAGACCACACCACTCGTCTGTGGCTGGGCTGAGATGTAGACGCCGGCTATGAGTCTAGGTTTTGTGTCGAACTTTGTGGCATGCTGTTCTTTACGAACGAGGAGTGGGCCAGGTGGGGACCGTGTGGACGCTGCCCATCCCCTCGAAGAAGGGGGTAGCTGAATGTTGGGCTTGGAGTTGTCTGCTTTTCTGATTTCTCGGGGGGATCCAGATGTACAGAGTTTTATGTGACGTCTCCTACGTTTTTAAAATTTGAGAGTAATCTACAATGTAAAAGGCGGGATGGGCCTCCCAAAGGCTGCCCACAGGCCTCCTTGGCAACTTCTGCTGTCTCTTTTATCTCAAAGATGGGGACCTCGACTCACTTCATGGCTGTGCCCTCGCACAGGGCGGGAAGCACAATTCACCTGCTGCTTCCGGGTGCCTCTGAGCCGAGCCTGGTGCTCAACAACCAGGAATCTCATCCTCCAGCCCACTCAGCACTCAGGATTCTCCAGCCTGGCCTCGGGGTGTGCACAAGAAATGACGGCCCAGTGGTGACTCGGAGCGTCACCTCCGCCCAGGGACCATCTCAGGGTCTCCCGTGTCCAGGACACTTCCTGCTTACCAAGGACTGACGATGCCCTGGGTGAGGGTTTTGGTTCGTCATCCCACTGATGCGCTCTGCAGTTTTGGGAGGTTGCCCCGTCCTCAACCCGGGGTGCGGATGAGAAAGCTGCGGCTCATGCAGGGGGGAGGGCACCACCCCCGCTAGGAAGCGGTGGGATGGTAAAGCGAGCGCCACCTGCTTCCAGCTTCTCCCCAGCCGGCTGTGTTCAGGCATTCCACCAAAATGTTGACACACGTTCCAGCGCACACACACTGACACGCTCACCCCCCGGACGGGAACGCGAAAGTGTGTGGGACACAAATAAGACCTAGGACATTCCCATCTGCCAGCCACATTTCCTAATTACCCTGGCTCCTACTGGAAGGTGAAGGCAGTGCTGGGGACATCCAGAGAGGATCCCTGGAGGCTGTCCCTTTTGGGAACTCTGCCCACTGGAGCCTGGACAGGCAGAGCTTGCGGTATGCCTCAGACCCTGGCCTCTGGGCTCAGCAGAGACGGCAGGTAGAGGGGGTGCCATGTTTGTCCTTGTTCTGTCTGCCTACAGACAGAAGTGTGCATATGTGCACCTGCGCCTGTGTACGTGGGTGTGCTTGTGTGCAGTGCACACACATGTGAATACATGCGCGTGTATCGTGTAAACCTGCATGAAAGCATGTATACGCAGGCACACAGGTACACAAGGTGTGTGCATGTGCATGTGTGTGCACGCCGTGCACATTTGTGCGTTCGTGCACGTGTGCAATGGAGAAGAGAGGATGTTGGCCTGCAAATAGAGATCCTCTGAAGTTAGTTTAGGACAAAGCATAAAAATCTTACTTAACCCAGAGATGTCAACTTACAGAAAAAGCTGAAATCTAAAACAGCTCCTGTGGGGCACCTGGGTGGTGGAGCGGTCGAGCATCAGGCCCCTGCTTCTGGGCTATGGGTCATCGCTGAGTCTGCTACAGTTTCTCCCTCTGCCCCTCCCCCTCCCCTCCCATTCTCTCTCTCTAAAATAAAAAAATATATTTTTTTAAAAAGCCCAATTTAAAAAAAAAGATTTTACTTATTTTTTTTGAGAGAGATTAAGAGAGAGCGCAGGTAGGCAGAGTAGTAGGCAGAGAGAGAGGGAGAAGCAGGCTCTCTGCTGACCAGGGAGCCCGATGCGGGGTTGGATCCCAGGATCCTAGGATCATGACCAGAGCCAAAGGCAGCCACTTAACCAACTGAGCCACCCAGGTACCCCAAACCCCCTAATTTTTCTGACCAAGTTAGATTTATATGCACAACACGGGTAATGAAATGATGGGGGGGGGCAAGTTGCAGAATATGGATAGATTATCCCATTTCTGTTAAATATTCTGCCTATGACATCACTAAACATTTTATATATTTTCCGTAGGTATGCACATATGTGACTGCATAGGTATAGGAAAGGTCCAGGAGGAACACCCCGAGTTATGAAGGCAATTACTTTCGGGAAGCAGGGAGGGTAGGAGTTGGAAGGTTACAGCCAAAAGGGCTGGGTGGACAGGCCCCTGTGTTCCTCCTGGAATCACAGTTCAGTGAGTAGGCAGGCGAGAATTCTACCACTGAACCACCAATGCCAGTTCAGTGAGTAGGTAGGTTGAGTCACAGTGGATGCCAGGTGGGGGTCATGGGGATGCTTGACCCTCAGGCAGGCATTTCCACAAGTCCCCCAGTGGACTCTCGGAGGGCTCTGCTGCCCGAGACAAGCATTGGCTTCTGGACCTGGCTCCCTGGTGGGGATAAAGTGAGGGAGCTGTTGTACCTCTCACGCGTGGGAGAAGCTCTGCTGCTTCCTACCCGAACTTTCCGTGCCTCAGTTTCTCCCTCCATGCTGCGATGGGAAGGGCCTGCTCCCTGCCGCCCCACACACCCACTGTTCCCAACCATCCCCTGCCTGGGCCCGCAGAAAAGTTAGGACTACAGGAACTCCCAGGACAAAGCCCCTCTCAGGGAGAGGCAGCAGGCAGCTGGGAGCTGCACTCCTCCCCAGCAGGGGGCCACGCAGAGACCTGGCCCAACCCTGGGGCCCCCAGGGGCCGCTGACAAGAGAGGCCAAGATGCAGGCTCTAGGGTGAGACTTCTGGGCTCAGTAATTGTCACCCAGACACCCGCAAGCTTGGCCACCCTCTGCCCCTCAGTTTCCCCGTCTGTGAAATGGGAACACCACGGAGGCCCACGGCCCAGGATGCTCTGAGGCTGAAGTCTCGCCGTTCTGTTTGACGACACGCGGCGGTGAGTAGGCGCTCACGGGTTTCAAGGGTGTCACCCTCCCGGACGACAGCTCACCCCGCCCCTCCGCGCCCAGGACACCGTGGCCCTCTCCGCCCTCTCCGGCACCCGGACCCTCCTGGGACTCGCCCGGTCCTCCCCTTCCCTCCGCCTCCCGCTCCAAGGTTTTTGTCACCAGGCGGTCCTCCCCCCGTGCCCTCAGGCCAGTCCCCGCGGCGCCCGGGCGCCCCCACCCACCCACCTACCCAGGGAAACTGAGGCGGGGCTGACGGAGCGCACGGGGGAAGGCGCCACGGCAGGGCGCCCCCTGCGCTCACCCGGGGTCGCTGTCATACCTGTTTCCCACAGCGGCTCCAGACGGCGAGGGTGACAGCGGCGGCGGCGGCGGCGGTGGCCAGGGAGGCTGTGGCGCCGGGGCTGGGAGCGCGCGCGGCCACGGGGACGGGGAGGGAGCAGCCGATGGGGCGGGAAGCCCGGGAGCGCCCGCGGGCGGAGCTTGGTGGCGCCGACTTCGGGCCACCACCGCGTCCAGGGCCCGGGCCGCCCAGCTCTGGTCCGGCACACCCACTCGCACCCGTGTGCCACCCCCACGTACGCACAACACCCCACACCCCCACCGCCGACGTGCGCACTCCACACTCTCCGCACGTCCGGACCCCTACAGCACCCAAAGAAGCCGCAATATGTGCAGGTGGGTCCCCTAACCCGGTTGTCTTCCCCCAGCACATCGCATGCTACATACACCCTAACCACTCGGTCCTACCCCAGGGTGTACCTAGACGCAGCACAGGCAGGCAACGAACTGCACCCCTGTCACTTCCGCACCCGCCCCCCCCCAACCCCGCACCCCCGCAGACTGCCCTCTGGGCCAGCTGGGGATTTTAGAAGCTTTGCAAGGACAGACACCTGCAGGTGATTTCCCCCAAACTGTCCCTGAACCTCAGCAGACCTATGAGATGGAATTAGCTCACCTCTTCTCTCCCAGTGACCTTCTCCTTCTCTCTGACTCAGCCACCCCCTCCAAGGTCACTCCTGGATCCCAGCCATTCCCTGAAGGCCCCGCCTCTGCCTTAGAAATTCAAACAGCCTACCTGGCGGGTGGGGCCTCGGGGCTTCCTCCCTTGACTCCCACCGCACCCCTGTTTCAGCCTCCACTCAATGAAGGCCCCCCACCCCTTTCCTCCTGTCCTCACTTGTTTTCCTCCTCTCTTCTCTTCAGCATGTCACATTCCAAGGAAGATCATTTCAGCCACTCTCTGGACAATATCCTCAACACATGGTTCACACACCCTTCGCAAACCCCAAAAGTTAGCCTTCTCCATCCCACCTTTGAGAGAGACTGGATTCCTTTTCTCTTTTGCTTTAACAAATAAGGACAAATGTATTAGCTTAATACACATGAATTTATTATGTTACAGTCCTCGAGGTCAGAGATCCAACACCCCTAAAATCAAGAATTGGGAGGACTGTGTTCCTTCTAGAGGCCCTAAGGGAGAATCTATTTTCTTACCTTTTCTAGCTTGTAAATACTGCCTCCATTCCTTGGCTTGTGACCCATTCCTCTGTGTTTAGAACCAGCAATACGGAGCTGAGACCTTTTCCCGTACTATCTGTTCTCTCTTTTCTTTCTTTTTTCTTTATAAGATTTTATATATTTATTTGAGAGGGAGAGAGAGCACAGAGGGAGAGTGAGAGGGAGAAGTAGACTCCTTGCTAATGGAAGAACCTCATGTGGGGCTCAATCCCAGGACCCTGGGATCATGACCTGAGTGGAAGTCAGAGGCTTAACCCACTGAGCCACCCAGGTGCCCCTAGTTTTCTCCTTTCTGTATCCCTCTTCCACTTCTAGAGACCCTCATGGGTGCATTTGGCCTCCCTGAATAACGCAGGATAATTTCTCCATTTCTAGGCCAGCTGATTGCCTAACTTAATTCTTTTTTTTTTAATTATTTATTTATTTATTTATTTGACAGAGAAAGATCACAGGTAGGCAGAGAGGCAGGCAGAGAGAGAGAAGCAGGCTCCCCGCTGAGCAGAAAGCCTGATGTGGGACTCGATCCCAGGACCCCAAGATCATGACCTGAGCCGAAGGCAGCGGCTTAACCCACTGAGCCACCCAGGTGCCCCAACTTAATTCTACCTGCAATCTTAATTTCCCTTTGCCATGTAATTTAACAGTTACAGGTTCTGGGAATGAGAACATAGGCATCTTTGGGAGGGCTTTGTTCTGTCTACCAGAGAGACTGAACTTTCTAGAGACTGAGCCCTGCTGGAGAAAATAAGTCAATCAAGAAGATTTTTGACACTAAATCTGTGAACCTTTACAAGTAGAAGGAAGTTTATTGTTGCCATTATTTGTACTAGAGAAATAATAAAATAAAATGTGTCATGTTTATTCTATGGAATACTATATAGCACTTAACAAGAACAAAGTCTATGTATATGGATGTCCACAGACTTCAAACCTCATGGGGTTCAATAGGTATCCCTATTTTACCAATGAGGAAAGTGGTGTAGATAGGTAGAGTAATTGCTCTAAGTCACACAACTAGAAATGTCAGAGTTGGGATTTGAACCCAGATAGTCTAAATCCAGAGCCTGTGTACTTAGCTGCTGCAGATGGCTGTGTACAGTATTAGTTACTTCAAGTAAAATTTTAAAAATACATAAGGAGGGGCACCTGGGTGGCTCAGTGGGTTAAAGCCTCTGCCTTCAGCTCAGGTCATGATCCCAGGGTCCTGGGATCGAGCCCCGAGTCTGGCTGACTGCTCAGCAGGGAGCCTGCTTCCTCCTCTCTCTCTGCCTGCCTCTCTGCCTACTTGTGATCTCTGTCTGTCAAATAAATAAAGTATTTAAAAATATATATAAAAATAATAAACCCACTACATGTTAATGTAATTAAAATGCTTTTATGAAAAATATTTGTCATAACAAAAAAATATTAGTGGGAAGAATGACATTGGTTAGCAGTTTTGCAAATTTCTTTTAATATCTGGCTTAATAAAGGACAACTGGATTCTGGCATCTGCTTTTGTATTCGGTCTGTTGCCTTATGTGTTTTCCTTGACATAAATGAAGGAAATACAATTTCACATAATTTTACCTACCATTGCTTTTGTCAGCACTGCTTTTGTCAGTGCAAATGTCAACATGGAGAAAGGGGCAAATAACACCTTAGTATTATTATGAAAATAATTTTGATCTTATGTTTCTCTTGACCGGGTCTTTGCCCCAACCCCTTAAGTCTGTGGACCATACTTTGAAAACCACTGCCCTAGTAGATTCAGTTGTGACCATATGAAATTGTTAATATTTTATTATCTTTGACCTACATAATGGCAATCTTATATGGTTCAACCCAATCCATGTTATATGGGAGGGTTTTCTTTTTGGTTCACACCCTGGGTTTTCCTGGCCAGTTTCTGGTGGTGGACATTATTGGGATGTATCTTCTCCAGGATGGTATTATTGTGGGCAGCTTTGTACAGGTGACGTGTCTTTCTCTGAGTCATGATGTCCAGTGTGGGAGGAGCTGGCATTGGGGTGTCTAGGAACCATGGACTGGTGATGTTAGGCTAACCAATTTTAAGATATGTATTATAAACAATTGTGAAACAGTTGTGTTCTCTCAGTTGGCTTGAGTTCGTGAAGATTGAACTTGGGGCTTTTTGGACTGGGGCTCTGGTCTTAAGGATATCAGAGGACGTCCACGTGGGCCTTCACCAGGTGTTAAGAACTATGGATTATGTGGCCAAATTAAAGAAGAAAAAGACTTTTTCTAGTTGAAGACCTATGGCACAGTTAGATCAATTCATGTCTGGATGGATTCATGATTGGATTGGGGAGTCTCTAAGTACTTCCCCAATTATATAGTATATTTATGTACTATTGTAGAAGAACAGTTTTTCTGCTTTATTTAATCAGGTGAATGTATTTGTGGAAAGGCTGATCCAAGATCAGCCAAGCCAGACCTGATGATCAATGGGGTGTTTGATGCTGTGCTTTATAACCACTATTTAAACAAAACTTTGCATAAAAAATAAGGTAATTTTTTTTTTTTTTTTCATTTTCAGAAGGAGTGAGGCACTGATCATCCACTCTTTCTTCTTCAGGCAAGTGCACCTGATTTAGCTCTAGGGTCGTCACCACTTCCTCATCCCTCGGCCATATTTTGAGATATTTTGAGATGTTCATTTCATTCATCACCAGCCCATTCAGGATTGAGACAGCCCCAGCCCAGTGATCAGCACATTATACTCCTCTTGGGATGCTGATTGGTTCAAAGGAGGGAACATGACACAAGTCAGATTAAGCCAGTGAAAGTCTATACTGGGACTTCTCCTTTGGAGTACCACTGGCTTCTGAGTTGTTCAGATGTGGAGCTGCGGCTGTGAAGAGGCTGATTAGGAATGAATCCCAGCTGGAAAGATGACAGGTCATCTAGGTCCTAGCTTGGTCATGTGACCCACATCAAGCACAACCTGAAGGTAGCGCTACCCTTGGAACTTGTAGGTGCCTGGAGCTATACATTTCCCTTTTTTTCCTCAAGCCATCTTGGGTTGGGGTTTCTGTTGCTTGCGCCTGAAAGACTCCTGATTCCGGTGAAAATGTTATCCAAACTACAAAAGGAACCAGAAGGAACAGTTAGTACTTTTTTTTTTTTTAACAGAATCTTGACAGTCCAGGCACAAATTAAGAAGATAAGCTAAGACAAGAGCAGATGTAAAACCCCACAGTTAGGCTCAAAGAGAGGAGGGAGGTGTTTAAGTACAGGATGGGAAGTGGCAGCTTCAGACGTGTATCTCCCTCTGAGACAGACAGCTTCTTGGAGATGCAGCGCCACCTTCAGGTCTGGAGGCCCCGGTTGCGGGAGCTCTGGCTTGGTTGGCAGTCTGCGTCCATGGATCAAAAGCGGATCTCTGGATCTCCGGGTCTCATTCCCGCAGTCCATAGCATGTTTCAGTGCTCCCCTGCCTCTGACCACAACACACAGCTGACACCATGCTGTCCTTTTTGTTATTCTTCTTTCTCTCCCTTAAATTCCTCCAGGCCCTCTGTCCTCCCACCCTAATTACTGCAACTAGCATTATGGAACACTGGTACTACCAGCCAGGCATATATATGCTAAATCTCCTCATCCTCCCAAACGATCTTATGAGACAGGTTCTATTTTCATTCCCATTTTACAGATAAACAGATTTGCAGATGTCGAGGAATTTGTCCAAACCGTGGAAAAACCAGGCCTCTCAGCAACCAAGGTTGGCGTTCTCGTACCTATTGCTAAACCACAGAGCTGTAAACTGGTCGTCCTAGACTGGGGTGTGTGGGGAATGGGGGAGATCCAGTTTTCAAACATGTTTTGTCAGACCACATGGGATTAAAATAATTTTTGAGCCCATGTTTAAAAGTCAGGAAATAGCACATAAAAATCAACTTCCTGATTCTCTGGAAAATAAGCCGTCAGGTAGACTGGTGACATAGGGCTTCCATTGCTGCTTGGCCTGGGCCGTCTGCAACTGCATGGCAGCCGAGTGGGCTCTGGTTCCCCATGACCCCCACTCCCA